TTTTTTTTTTTGGTTTTTTGAGACAGGGTCTCACTATGTAGTTGAGACTGACCTGGAACTCACTATGTAGCCCAGGCTGGTCTCGAACTCCCAGCGATCCTCCTGCCTCAGCCTCCCAAGTGCTGGGATTACCGGCGTGTGCCACCACGCCCAGCCCTAGTTTTCTTTTTACCATACTAAGAATACAAATTTTCATGTTCCTGACTTTACCTCTTAATCCACTGATTTTTCTCTGACAACAAGTAGTTTATTATTTACAATCTTCTAAATTCTGTTCCAACATTGACACCTACCCATTGGCCATAGCACACACATTTTTGGTTAGTCTAGACCAGGGATGGCGAACCTTTTAGAGCTTCCAATGATACAAACAGCCTGCTGTGGCACGTGTGCCATAGGTTCACCACCACCGGTCTAGAAGGCCTCTATCATGACCCATCCAGTCAGAGGGCTAAAATCGAGGGAGAATAGAGGCCTTCTAGGTCAGGAACAATAATATAGAGGGTGATTTGATTTTAAAGAAACCCAAACAAAACAAAAAAAACCCAATGACAACAGCCAGAAGAGGGTCCGTGAAGTCATGAGGATGGAACAGCCTGTAGCCTGTGTCCACCCTCTAGACAAGGGAAGAAGCTGGGCTTTTTTGCACAGCCCATTCACCATCCAGAGGCCAGCCCCGCTGGAGCCCCGCTGTCCTGGCTCACATGGCATAACCAGTCTCTAACTAATATTCCTAGAAAGACAGAAATGGAGGTGAGGGTCCCAGGTATTTGGTATCGGGCCTACAAATTAAAAGATGAAGAAGTTACTACAAAGAAGTCTTTAGAATTACCTCTTTTCTCCACTTGAGCTCGCAGAACACCCTCTCGAAGCATTCATGCATGTAATTGAACTGGGAAAAAAAAGTAGCAATACTCACTGACTTCTCAAGACCAGGTACCACAGGGCCATGCCTTTCAACTCCTGCCAGGTCACCCCATCTTCTGAACCCCCTCCGTCTGGAGAAAACCCTGATCTGGCCACCTACTGTTCTCTAGCTCCTTCTAGTGGTAAGTATGAGTCAAGCAGCGTGTGAAATTGCCAGTCTAGGCAGTGGCCTAAAGGAAAAAGGATGGACCTAGGTGCCTGGATTCAAATAGGCTCTGATCCCAAGACAGCTACATCTCTGCCTCCCGAAGCCCGATCTGCCTTCCCCAAGCATCCGTCCCGCGGCCACTCACATAAGGTGTGAAGATTTTAACCCATCGGGGCTTCTTCTCTCCTCGTGCATATTCAAAACAGAAGGCCATCCCTTCCTCATCGGTGTCCCACCGCTGCATCTCACTCCACTCAAACGCGATGACCTGGTTCTGGAGGACCAAGAGCAGGGCAAGGGGGTCTACAGTCTGAGGAGGAGAGCTCTGGGGAGCTAAGGTGAGGGGCCCTGAACCAGGGAGGCGATAAAGGAAAGGGGAAAGGACTGCGACAAAAGAATAAAAATCAGTGGAAGGAGTCAGCGAACTGGAGGGTCAGGTCAGTTTGGGCCAGTGCTTTTTACTCCAAAGAAAATGCAGTTTTGACTTCATCATCATCCCTCCCCGCTCCCCACCCCCGTCCCCGTCTCAGGAACTGAATCACAGCAAGCGAGTGGGCTTCCAGCGTTCACCTGTGTTGCTCCTACTCGGCGCTCACTGAATGCTCACCTCCAGCTGTCCCTCCTCAGTGCAGGCGTGCAGCTTAAAGTGCGTGATGCTGATGGCTGTGATAACGTGCCCCTTCCTCCTGGAATCACAGGCACAGTGGGGGAAGATGATTTCATTGTAGCCCTCACAAGTCCTTAGCATGTTGAGGTACTAGGGGAAGAGGAAAGAGAAACGGTATTACCAGGAAGTGAGGCAACGGAAGAGCTGCGCAAAGCCCAGAGCACTGCACTCTCGCCCCACCTACCGCCCGAAGACCTGGCCTCTGGTCCCACTCTGGGCACGAGACTGTCACCTCTACCTGCTCCCAGCACCTGCCTTCACACTTCCCACTGCCCGTATCTGCTCTCCTGAGACGAATGAGAGACAGAAGAGGCAACGACAGCCAGACCACAGGGCTAGAAAGGACCTCACAACCTCGCTTAGTCTGGGCCTGTGTTCTCACCACACCTCAGAGATGAGCATCTAATCTGTCCTTACAGGAAGATGATGCTTTGCCCCAGCTACTCTCCAACCCTAAGTTACAATGATCTCGGTGGTGAAGACTAAGTCACTCATTTCATACCTACCAATGTTAAAACTGAAAGCTGTGTTCCACTGCCTGCCTTGCAAGATCCCGAGTTCACTCTCCAGTACCCCCCGCAAAAAAAACCAACCAAAAAACGGAAACGTGTAAACGAGCCATTTTACAATCACCTCAAATAAAGTAAAACCATCACGAGGTCACAGGAAAGAAGAATGGGCACAGCCAGGGTTATAACCAAGGCTTAGTTTCTAGACCTCTGCTCCTCAGCCCCCGGAGCAGCCGCTCTGTCCCTGCATCACCCGTTTCTATGACTCCTTAAAAAGCAGAGAACCAAAGCCAAGTGGCACAGGTACAAGGCTCATCTGGCTCTGAACGACGGAAGCTAACTCCACTCTGTCCCTTTCCCTCTACACGTAAAGCAGGGCTCTCTTTATTCAACTCACTGTTCTGAGTTGAGGGGTGAGAAGTACCTGGAGTACGAGAGGGCAGGGATGGAGCTCACCGCCTGCTTCACAAGCGCAAGGACCTGAGGCAATCCCGGTACCAAAACAAAAGATGAGCAGAAGAGACAGAGGAAAAGGAAACTCAGGGGAAAGCGTCCTGGTTTCCCCTAGGGAACTGCCTAGGGAACACGCCATCAGCCTTGAGCCCCACACCGGGTGCGTGTCACACACGAAGAGCACGGACACGGTGCTATGTGCAGAGTACTGGAGAGGCCAAGACACAGCGCCCGAGCCGACTTCCACAGGCGGGAGCGAGTTTAGAATAAACCGGAGTCCGCTCCGCCTCACACAGGCAACCTAGAGCCTGCTGCTGACGAGGGGCACGGAGGGCCACAGCCACTGCCACCCGAAACAGAAGACTTCAGGGCTGGGGTGGGTGTGGAGGTGAGGGGGCGTCCGCACATGTTCCTTTTCCTACTTTACATTTATGTTTTGGTAAAATAACGGCAATTTTAAGGGGAAAAATTATAACAAGGCAGCAAGAATACAGAGACAGGATGAAATCCGAATACAATACTTCACCCATATCATTTTTCCTTCTTATTTCTCTTTCTCTGTATTCTATCTCCCCTTTTTATTCTTCCTGTATCCGTGACAAACAGGAATACTATTTAATGCTGCTATGGCATTGTGAAAAAAAAAAGGAAGAAATCCCTGACCCCCTAACTTGCCAGGAGGTGGGTCACATGCAACAGGAGAAAACTGGGGTCATAATACAGAGCAAACTTGGGGCAGAGAACAACACAACGCGGAGTGAGTGAGAGGCCAGGCCAGGCTGCCCTGCACAAGTTACTGTACTTGAATTCACACATATTATTCAACACCAGAAGCCTTAACGTATTCTCTTACGAGGTGGGAAATAATAACAGTACCTACAACACAGTGTTATTTGTGAGCATTAAATATATACAGTACTCAGCACATAATTAGGGATTTAATAAGTGATGGCTGAAACATTTTCTAAAGCTCCATCAACCACTTTCTGTCTTAAGAATGCCGTATGTGTGTGTGAGGGTGGGCACTGCATGCATACTTCTAATCCCAGTTCATCAGGAGACTGAGGCAAGATCACAAGTCTAAGGCCAGTCTTGGTAATTTAGTAAAACAAAAAAGGCTAGGATGCAGATGTTGCTCAGTGTTTGAGCACCTCTTAGTTCATTCCCTAATACCACACACACACACACGTGTGTGTGTGTGTGTGCGTGTGTGTACAAAAGCCTTGTGAAACGATGTATCTGAATATTACTTTTCTTTTCTTTTTTTCTTTTTTTGGTACTGGGGATTGAACTCAGGATGTTGCACTTATGAAGCAGGCAGTGGAACCACCAAACTAAATGCCTGGCCCTGAATATTACTTTTTAAAAATCCAGGGGAGGGGCTGGAATAGTTCAATGGTACAGCACTTGCCTAGCACACACAAGGCCCTGGGTTTGATCCCCAACACTGCAAAAACCAAGACCAAACAAACAAGACAATCCACAGCAACAACATAAACAAACAAACCTGAAAAAACTCCAGAGGAAAAAAACATGTGAATGAGACAGATGGACTATGAAAGGAAGTTAAGGCTACTGAAGGTGGATTAAGGGGTACATGAAGGTTTACTGTACCATTCTTTTAACTTCTGCGCATGTTCGAAAGCGTTTGTGATAAAATGTCAAAGGAAAGGGAGCTGGGCACCCAGGCCTCAAGGACCCAGCCCCAAGTCACCTAAGACGGCCATCAGATACGCTGTTCAATGAGCGGAGTGCCCCCCACGTCACGAGCCTTGAGATCAATTCTGTTGATGTCCTCGACAAAACAGACTTACATGTGACACATTTGCTGGGAGGTCTCTGAGAAGCACCACTACTGCTTAGACAGACATTTCTGACGTATTCCTAATTGGAAATTTTACTGCATAATTTTTTTAAAGAGAAGCATGCAGAAAGACAGGGATTAGGAAGAGATCCACAGAAATGTGGCATTCTGCAAGTCTTAAACACTTTCTCTGTGACCTTAAGAAAGTTATTCTAGGGCCAGCGAGGGGGCACAACAGAGCCCTTGTCTAGCAGGCATAAAGGCTGGAGCTCCACCTCCAGTGCCTTAAGAAAAAGTTGCTATACTCGGAGATTTCCCCTCTGCTGGAAATAAAGGATTCTGCTGCTATTCTCTATTCCCTGATATAGGGAAAAACATGCACCAGAGCCTGACAGATATGGGTTCAAATTTTAGTTCCACTTCTGGTAGGCTGTGGTTTGGATCAAAATTTTTTTTTTTTTTTAGCCAAGGTCTCACAAGGCAATTAAGGCTGTCCTCAAATTTGTTATGCAGCCCAGGCTGGCCTTGAAGTTGCAGTGATCCTCTGATCCTCTTGCCTCAGCCTCCCAAATGCTGCGTTTATAGTCACCAAACCTATGCGCCACCATGCCCAGCACTTGGGTAAAAATTCCAATTTCTCAGACTCTGCTTCTCTGTGTAGTGGGATGTCACCTGCAAGGCTGTCAGAGAAGAGACGAGAGCGTCCAGAGGGGCCAGGGTGGCTCCAGCACAGGGTGTGAACCCTCCTCACCCCTCCCACAGGTGCACTCGGTCCCTCACAGTCAGGAGCGTGGTCCTCGAAAGCAGCAGGCCTCCTGGGGACTTCCACCTGGCATAAGCTCCAGTAATAACCTGAATGAAAACAAGGGCGCCTGTGCCTCTGGTGAGAGGCCAGTGGTAAAGTCTCGTGGGCAGACTTAAGGTGTTCAGAGATTCTCAAGTTGGGTAGCATTTTTCAGTTTTAAGCAGGCAAAAACTACACTGTGAGTCTGCACAAAGCCTGCAGAGAAGGAACACTTAAAAGCTTACATCAGTCCAAAATTAGGAAAAAGCGAATTTTTGCTTTTAAACATATTTCTAACATATATTTAAAACACAAAGCTATCCCATCCATTCCCCTTTGGTACTAAGTCTGTGTATCTAAACGTCCTAACTGACCTTCCCGATTCATACAATTACTTGGTATCCCATTCAGGTACGGTCAGGGACAATTCAAAAATGTTCAATATTCAGTAATATGGCTTAATACATAAGTAGAGCCATTATTAACACAAACACAGACTCCGTACTCACCCGAGCAGAACACATTAGGTAAATGTCTCAAGTCACTTTTTTGGTACTGGGGACTGAACTCGGGAACTTGCACTTGCATGGCAGGCATTGGTAACACTGACCTAAATCCCTGGCCCCCCTTTTTTTTCTGCGGTACTGGGGATCAAACTCAGGATGATGCGCTTGAGAGGGAGGAGAAAGCGCCACTGAACCGGGGCCCCAGCACTTCAAGGTCTATTCTTAAGAAACTCTGTTCTCCCGACCAATTTGCCAAAGGGTCAAAACAGGTCTAAAATTAAAGCACAGGCTCGAGAGGAACCGTGGGGGCCAACCCTCCCAAAACTCAAAGGGCAGTAGTGATTCTGAAGCACATAAAGTTTCAGTATCACAAAGGATGCTTTTAAAGAATAAAAATCCTCAGCCTCTTAATGCTTATCACAGGCAGTGTTCTTACACTGACTGTACAGAAAAAGGAGACAAAGTAAATCTTCCCCACATACACCTCAGCCCAGGCCTTGTGCCCTGCGTGTATTGTGAATGAGGAAGCAGAGGGGGAAAAATCCTCAAGTCCTAACCCTGAGAGGTTCTGGTATGCTAAATGTGGGGTAAGGACCAGAAATCTACATGTTAAGGGGCTTCACAAGTGACTGCCATGGAAGTGGGCTGGGGATCACACTTTAAGAAACACAAAATAGCGGCACAGTTTGTCATAGCTAAAATTTGGAAACAGCCCAGTTGCCCATCTACTGGGGACTGGATAAAGAAGATGTGGTTTTTCTATAAAATGGAGTACTGCTCGGCCACAAAAATGAGAAACTAGAGCCATTTACAGCTAAATGGACGCACACTGAAGCCATACTTTTAAGTGAAATAAATAGGACACACGTGTAAACACCAAAGTGTAAATAAGGTTCAAATGGTGTAAATGACAATGTGAAATAGGAAGAAAAGGTCTGAAGGAGTAGGGGAAGTGGGAGAGGTAAGGGAAAGGAAAGAAGAGAAAAGAAGAAATATGAGAAAAGGAAAAAATGAAAATAGTCTTTGTAACTAGGGAAGGGTGGAGGGGTGAAGGAGGGCAGGGGAATGGGGGAAAAAATAAGAACCAAGATGTGTCATGAAAAGGTACAAGATGATCCCAACGATGAATATAACTACATTGTATCCCTAAAATGTACCAATAAACTTAATGGAGGAAAAAAAGAAAGAAACGCAGACTTTCATACAGACTGCCTGTCTAACATCATTACAGATTATATCAAGAAACACTAGCACATCCGTTCAGAGGACACCGGGCGCGTACAGGGTGACGGCCGCAGACAATACGTCAGTTCAACAAGGGCAAGTCAGGCTACTTAGAAATGAGGAAAGCATGACTTACACGTTTACTGTTTGTGTGAGAATAGAGAGAGAAGACAAGAGGCAGGAAGAAAAGACCAGAGGAGGAGACGGGAGTGAGAGGAAAGGAGGGGACGCATCCAACCCAACTTTGTAAATAAGCAGAAAACAAAAATGTTCGGTGGGTACCGTGTTCCTGACTGCAGTGAGGATGTGAGCTCTGCTCAGTATTTGGGGGACAAGGGAACTTATCCAAAGCTTACAAGATCTTGTTCTGTCAAAATTCTACCCAACAGCTGACAGTCTGAACATTCTCATCTTACAAAAAAGAAAGCAAACCACAAAGTCTGTTGGGCTGCTGTAGGTCTCACGGTGATTTGGTGACTAAGTGTACAGATCTGGCTTCACTGCAAGTCTGTCAACTTTGCTAAGTTGCTGCAGTTGGTGGCATCAGGGTCTCTGGGCTCGGAAAGGCACGTGTGACCCAATACTGGCGGGGCCGCCTGTAAATACTGCTATCTGAATTGATAAAATCCAAACTTTGGTGAGATGTTTATCAAAATTTGTAGTAAAACGTGGCTGTTCCACACTTCTACGTTGGCACTAGTTTCCAACACAACAGAATTCTGTACATTTGAGCATATTTTATACCCCATGCCAATGACTTGTGGGAAAGCATCTGTGTATCAATTGTACGTTTTAGTTAAGTGGGTGATTATGAAATTATGCACTTGAGTCTAAAAATGATTTCATAATAGATTTCTGTGCTTATTAAATCCTGATTTTCTATATTTTGCCAACAACCCAAACCTATTTATTTCGCTAGCACTTTGTACTGTGCCTGGCACATACTTGGAAGTCAACGAGTATTTTTTGGTAAACACATAAATAGAAGGACATTATGTTTGGAGCACTATTTATACAAAGGAACAATATATACTGATATATCAGAGGGCCTTATGAAATTACTTTTATTTCTGCTTTCTCTTCAGGAACAGGAAGACTTTACCAGCTTTGGTAAAAGCAAAGAACTACAGCAGAGGTTGAAGCCAGTTAGCAATTAGCCTTTCACCAAAGAGATGCAATATATTAGTCAGAATGAGGTGTTACTAGACAGAAGACAATGTCATTATCCTGAGGAACAGATGGAAGCTGCATTGTAAAACCCCGTCCCACACACAGAAAAATGTCTTAACAAAAATTCTGTCAAGATTTAATTATATTTAAAAGATTTCGCATTTTCCATTTCAGCCTGCTGATACGTACATAGTACATGGGTAAGATGGATGGCTCCCTGGTCTCTGGCAAATTTTTTTTGTTTGTTTTTTTGAGACAGGGTCTCACTATGTAGTTGAGACTGCCCTGGAACTCACTGTGTAGCCCAGGCTGGTCTCGAACTCACACTGATCCTCCTGCCTCAGCCTCCCGAGTGCTGGGATTATAGGCGTGTACCACCATGCCCGGCTCTGGCAATATTTTTAAGGCAAAAGGATTTATTCATTTTCATCATATAATAATAAAATGAAAACCCTACACAGATATCAGATGATGCTCTAAGGCCAACAGCTGACTTGTCTGCATTCTTATTCCAAATCAACTGATTTAGGTGGACGAACTCTCTCACAAAAGGCACACTGATGGTACAAAGTAATTCAAGTGACCCATCGAGATCATTACCAAAGCAGTACTATCCGTGTGAAATTCAGTTGTAAGTGGAAAAAGTTCAACTACACGTGAATCTGCCAAAAAAGACATTTTTAAATGTTACGAATTTAAATTTTTTTTTCACTGAACATATTATAAATGTTCTTTACTAATTTTATTTTTTGCAATTTTCATCCCTGCATCATGGCAGATACAAACTGAAAATTAATTTTAAAACACTCTAGTGCCATGTAGGTAGCCTTGTCTAACAGAATTTCCTTTGACTATGAAAATGTTCTATTGCTATTCTAGGACTACTTAGCACTTGAAATGTGCAACTGAATTTTAAATTTTATTTAATTTAAATTTAGATTTAAATAGTTATATGACGCTTATAGCTGGCAAATTGAACACTACAGCGCTAAGATAAACAAACCAAAAGTGCTACCAAGCATAAACGTCTAAGCAACTACAGAAATGGAAGTTGTAAAAACAAATGATTTTGCTCTTGCTAAATCTATCTAAAATAATCTGTAATAGTAAAAATCTAAATGCCATATCGGGCTACAGATGTAGCCCAGTAGATGTACACTTGTCTAGTACGCATGAGGCTCTGGATTCTATGCCCAGGAAAACACACAAACACACACACACGCACGCACACACACACACTAAAAACCCGTTCTTACACAATCTCATCTTTGTCATATAGTGATTTCTGCACAACCATTTTAGCACTTTTTTATCAGAAAGAACATCGTTTAGTTGTTACTAATAATAAATTACATGCTTACGTACAGTAACTCAGCTTTTTGCGTGTCAAATGAGGAACGCAAAGGACTTTGCATCAAATATCTTCGCATTAAAGTTCTTACTTTTGTTTATTTATTTATTTTGGTTTTTTTGAGACAGGTTCTCACTATGTAGTTGAGACTGATCTGGAACTCATTATGTAGCCCAGCGATCTCGAACTCACAGCGATCCTTCTGCCTCAGCCTCCCGAGTGCTGGGATTACAGGCGTGCGCCACCATGCCCGGCTTAAAGTTCTTACTTTTTAAAAATTGGCTAATCCACTGTTTCAATACATTTCAAAAATGACTGGAACAACAGTTTTAAAAGGTAAAAAGGAGCATTTTCTGAAAGTATTATTGGGGACATACACTTACCATGACCATTTTCCTTTGTTCATACAGCTTCTGTAATTGGTAAGACTTCTCTTCGGCCTTGATGTAACCTTTCTTCACATCATCAACAGCCTAACACCAAAATAAAAGAAAGGAAGCGGGGAATGTAAAAGTCATCATCAAGAACATTCTTCATAAAAACAGAGATGTAGGTGCATCTTCAGAAAAACTTGCATCTTCTTGGACCATCATCACAATTACACCAATATGGACATATGAATCAGAATAACTAATATTTAAAGAGTAGCACGTATTTAAGAATTGTTCGAGGCATGTGAAAAATCTGTCATCTTTTTCCTCAAGAGACTTAAATTCTGGGCCAGGGATATAGCTCAGTGACACGACACCTGCCTCACAAACTCAAGGTCCTGAGTTCAATTCCTGGTACCAAAGGGGGGGAAGAAAAAGACTTAAATTCTGCTAAATTTATGCATGTGAAAACAGTAAGGGAACCGGTGTGGGTGGTGCATGCCTATAATCTCAGCACTTGGGAGGCTGAGGCAGAAGGGTCAAAAGTTTGAGTCCCATATGGGCAAGTTTTAAGCTGCTGTCTCAAAATTTTAAAAAATAATGAAAACAAGAAACAATTAAAGAACAATGAAAAAAAAAAAAAGAGAGAGGAAAAAAAAAAAAAAAAGAAAGAAAGAAATAATGGCCGGGAATTTAGTTTAGCAGTTCGGTGACCTGCCTTGAAAGCGCAAGGACCCGAGTTCCATCCCCGGTACCAAAAAAAAAAAAAAAAAAAAGAACACTTAAAGACAGTGCATAATAGCATATTAAAGGCAGGAATGATGCAGCAAAATATAAGATCTAGACAATAAGTAGTATATGCAGTTAGTACAGGAGCACTTACTGCTAATTATAATTATCAGAGAAGCTTTGGGTGGACCTTGAAAGGATAAATGAGGGAAACTACAAGATGAAGTCAGGAAACAGGAATGGGTATGAAATCTAAACATTCAAGAAGCTGAGTGTGGTGGTGCATACTTGTAATAAATAAATAAATACTAGTCTATCCAGCTTCCGATGTACAGTAAAACCTATAGGTTTAGCATCTGCAGATAGAAAATAATTTTTTAAACAAAATTGTGTCTGTATTGAACATGTATGGCCTCTCTGGACCATTATTCCCTAAGCAATGTATGATAATTACTCACATGCCATTTATATTTTATAGGTATTACAAGTAGTCTACAGATTAAAGTACATAGGAGGAAATACTAAATCATATGCAAACACTATTCCCTGTTAGAGAAAAGACTCCAGCGTCTCAGATCTTGGTATCCACAGGCAGGGTACGTGTGTATGCGTGTGTGTTTGTGGCCTGAAACCAAAAGCCTGAGGACACCAAGGGATACCGAAACTTAAAATATTATTTAGCTAAGCGAAAAGATTGACAATCCTTTTTCTGATGGCCAAATAAAAGCACTGTATTTGTCTTGTTCAAATCCCCAACACTAAAACGGTGCCTGACTCATGAGAGTATTAAATATCTGATGAACAACGGGGCAGAGGTGAGTCCGTTACCCCTTACTCCAGCACCCCGCAGCTCTTTCACACAGAGGAGCAAAATATTCTCCTTTTTCACTTCTAATCTAAATGATATTGATTAGCCCTGGATGGAAAATATAAATATCACCACACTACACTTTTTTTTTAATTAAAAAAATGTTTAAAGTAAAGCACACAGCTACATGTGGTGGCGCAAGCCTATAATCCCAGCACTGGGGAGGCTGAGTAAGGAGGACCGCCTCGAGTTCGAGGCCAGCCTGACCTACCAAGCAAGATCCTGTCTCAAAATCAATCAATCAATCATGCATACAGTTAAATATAAACATATTACTAAAAGGCTCCCAATAGAAATAGTAGTCTCCTGATCCCAGAGCTTTATTCCAAACTTTAAAAATGATGGTACTAACCACCTGATACTAACCAGGGCCTTGATACTGAGGCACATCTCCAAATCTGATTTCTTAAAAATGTGATTGATTGATTGGCACCAGGGATTGAATGAATGAATGAATGAATTTATTTATTTATTATTTATTGGTACCAGGAATCGAATTTGAGACCTTGTGCTTGCAAGGAAGGTGGCAGAACCACTAAGCTAAATCCCTGGCCCTGATTTTTATTTTTGAGATTCGCTAAATTTCTAAACCTCACACGTTGGTCTCTAACTTGCCATCCTCCTGCCTCAGCCCCCCAGAGTGCTGGGATAACAGGTATGCACCACTGCATTCAGCCTGCTTTTAAGCAGTTGTTTTTTTTGTCCCCCTGGTACCAGGGATCGAAATTTGGGTCCTTGTGCTTGCAAGGCAGGCAGTGGCACCACTGAGCTAAATCCCCAGCCCTTATGTAGTTTTTATGATCATCTTTCCATAATTCTAAAGGTTGTGCTTACATTAATAATTTCTGAGCTGCCAATTTTAGACATTGTTGACTTCCTGCAATATAGTTCAAAAGTCGCTAGACAGGAGGTACTTCTACAAAAGTAACAGCTTTTTGATATATCTAAATATTGTGCTTTTGTCACAAAGTTTTATAATTCAAAAAGCAATTTCACATGCCTGCCCCATTCACATTTGAATACTCATTTAAAAAAAAAACCCCAGCTATGAAACAGTACTCTGCTCCACTGACAGATCCTCAAAGTATTTCATCCAAGCCTTGCTAAGAGTTTATCAGTGCAGAGCTCGGACTTGTAACAAATATTCTGACTTTAAGCTAAAAATTTCCACTCTGATAATAAACAAAAATATTCCATTCATAATTGTAAAAAAGAAAAAAATAGAAATTGATTTAAAGGGACATAGGTGAAAGTTAAACGAGCCTGACATAGGAACAACTTGGGTTAGGACCGGAATTTTAGTTTTAACTTACAAAGTCTTGAGTTACAACCCAAATGCCACCCAGATGTGCTTCCAGGTGGTCTCAGATACAGATTTAACTCTTAGAGAATTCTGGAAGGAACATTACAACATCCTTTCCTGTGTGGGGCTAACTGAGAAAGCCTGGGCCAGTGTCTCTCTCAGGACACTGCGATCTGCCCAACACAGGAGAGACTTTGAAGGCTGTGTAGGAAGCCTGGGCCTTCCACTGACAAACCTGAGTTATAACCAGGCCTTGAGAATGAATTGAGTTTGTAAGTCAAGAGTCCACTGTAAATCTACAGAACTTTACCCAAGGAAATAAGAGAGGCATTGAATAAAATAGAAACCTTAGCTGGGGATTTAGCTCAGCGGTTCAGTGGCCTGCCTCGCAAGCGCAAGGACCAGAGTTCAATCCCTGGTACTGAAAAAAAAAAAAAAAAAGAAACCTTATATATTTGGTTAAGAATATTACATTTAATAAAAAATAGGAATTCTGTTAAAATTTCAATTGGAATATTAATAAGGTATAAGTAATAGGTTACAAAATGGGTTAAAAATTTATTTGGACAAACAAAAATGGGCAAGAACATTGAGCCTTTTAAAAAGGTGGGCCGGGGACTTAGCTCAGTATGCCACGCCTGCCTTGCAAGTGCAAGGCCCTGAGTTCACTCCCCAGTACCACAAAAAGAAAACAAAGAAGGTGCTACTGTTTGGATGTAGAAGGTCCTCCAAAGCCTATGAGTCAAAGGCTTGGTCCCGGGGGCCCTATAAAGGGGTGGTAGAATCTCTGGGCGGTGGAGCCTTCTGAGAAGTTTTTACAGCATTGAGGGGCTGGCTCTCAAATGGTTTTCTGAGACCCCAGTCTGTGTCTGTCATTCACTCATTCCTTCTGTCTTTCTGTCTTTGTCTCTCTCCGCTTTGTGGCTCATGATATAAGCAGTTTGTTCCATCATGTGCTGTGATCGCAATGTACTGCCTTTGCCAGAGACATAAAGCAAGGGGCTGCCTGATCTTGAAACCAGAAAAGAAGCTTCAGACATGTCAGTCAGAATAAATCTCTTCTCCTTATAAATCAATTGCCTCAGGTACTTCACTCTTGTAATCCAAAGCTGACTAATACCGAAGGTTTAGTCTTAACACATATTAAAATGTAGCTTTAGGACTGGGGATTTAGCTCAGTGGTGCCATGCCTGCCTGGCAAATACAAGGTCCTGGAAAAAACAAACAAACAAACAAACAAACAAATTCAGGTCTACATACAACAGTACTCCTACAAACATGGTGAACATGCCTGTGATCCCAGTACTCGGGAGGCCGAATCAGAAAGATCACTGCAAGTTCGAGGCCAACCTGGGCTACATAGCAAGTTCAAGGTCAGTCTGAACCACACAGTCAGACCCTGTCTCAAAACAAAACAAAACCCATGGTGAACATGACTTAAATGGCCATTTTTTTGTAAGAAGGGTGACAAGTAACAACCACACAAAGAGACCCAAGATATGAAAATGAGGGATTCTGTTTTCCCAGGGAAAGTGCCTTTATGACAAAGGAGACACAAAGTGGTTTGGTGGGCAGAGCTGATTTGCTAGAGAAACCCTAAAACTACACAGAGGTTCATGTAGTTCATGTAGTTCGTGTGTGTTGAGCCCAACCGCACAACTAAGAGAATGCTGGGCACTGAGAGACACAAGCATTTTCAGTCAAGAGGAGATGTGAAGAGCAAAGGCGAAGCAGTCCAGCTTTAAATTTCATTTTCTGTTTTATTAGAAGAAAATAAGAGCTGGAGGTCATCTTCACTTCAAAGAAAGGAGGAGGGTACACAGTCAAAAAAGGAAGCATAGATCAACAGGAGATCCATAATAATGTGTCCCTGTATGTGTATATATCTGCACACAACACTAAGCTTAATAAAAAAGAAATTACGCATAATAAATTAGAAACCTATCATTTAATATATGCTGTTATGCTATCAGCAGTTTCAAAAAAAACAGACTAACCGTCTGTACTACATAGCATAATAAATCTCGGCTACATCAAAGCATTAAATATTAAAAATAAAATATTGTGAATTCTAAAAGAACAGCATTCAATCCTAGCACTACAGAAAAATTAACAGTAGTATACTTATATTTAATACTGAGGAAAATATACCCACTAGTCAAGTAACAGAAATTACAAAAGATAAACATTATACAAAATGTTAAATCTTTTAAAACAAAAATCAGTTAATACTAAGACATAAAAGGAAAAATCAATAAAATAGATTAAATATCTGCAAAAATGACACAGATCTTAAAATTTATAATCTCGACAGAGGGCTGAGGCAGTAGAGCTACAAGTTTAAGCCCAGCCTTGGCTACATAGTGAGACTCCATCTCAGATAAAAAACAGAAGGGCTGGGGATGCAGCTAAGCGGCAGAGTGCTTTGCTAGCACGCCTGAGGCCCTGAGTTCAATCACCAGTAACATACAACCATGAATGAATGAATAAATGGGCAACAGTAGCTTCTTAAAAGAAAAGTAGCAGTAGGTAGTAGCTCAGTAGTAGAGCACTTGCCTAACATGTGTGAGGACTTTGAATTCAATCCCTAGTGATGCAAAAAAAAAGTAAAAATAAACCACACACACTGAAAGTGATACTACAAAAGTTTATGGTAGCATCATTTATAATCACATATTCAAAAACACCCTAGAATAAGGGGGAATAATTAACAGACTGTACATTAATTCAGTCATGAATGATATAAAAAGAACAATGCAAGGGCCGGGGGATTTAGCTCAGTGGCACTGAACCTGCTTCACAAGCCCAAGGTCCTGAGTTCGATCCCCAGTACCAAAAAAAAAAAAAAAAAAAAAAAAAAAGAACAATGCAGATACATGAAAAAGGAAAAACCGTACATTAGGATAACTGTAAAAAGTCTACATCTATACAAATACCTAACATCAAATATTAAGCTGAGTACTTGGAGGAAGAGTTCATAAAAGACTTCCAGGTAAAGATGACAAATGCAAAACAAATATCCTCACTTCATCCTAAGATTTAATTAAAATGAGTAAGCAGGGCCGGGGATTTAGCTCAGTGGTTCCACTGCCTGCCTCACAAGCACAAGGATCCGAGTTTGATCCCTGGTATCAAAAAAAATAAATAAATAAATAAAATGAGTAAGTGCATGCGTGCAAGCGTGTGTTGCTGAAGATTAAACCCAGGGCCACAGGCAAGCCAGGCAAGCAATTACTCCGGCACTGAGCCACACTCCCAACCCAAGAAATTTTTTTTTAAAAGAATAAATCCACAAGATCAGCAAGAACGGGGAAAAAATCAGACCAAAATATTATAAGTTTGGAACACATAATATATAAGAGTAGTAATTTAGAAAACCTAAAGAAAAAGAAATTTCTACACTGGTGGGAAAGAAAGTGGAGAAACCCTCCAACAAATTCCCCAAAGACTCAGGAATTAGTACCAGATGGTCACCTGGGAGAGGTAGGAGGCTGTGGGCTAATAAGAGGAGGACTGAAAACCTACTTAAGAAACGAATTACCCGATCCTCTCCTTCATTTCCCAAAACCACATGACTGTGCTCTCCAGTGCCAGCTGAAGATCAGAGCTTTAGTTTCTCTACAGTGAGGTTCACAGTCAATGAGATCAGCTATGCTGCCTCCCAATATTCAACTTGAGCAGACAAGTGTTATGAGGAAAGCCCCTTAGCCAGGCATGGTGTCGCACACCTGTAATCCCAGCACTTGGAAGGCTGAGGCAGGAGGATCGCTGTGAGTTTGAGACCAGCCTGGGCTACACAGTGAGTTCCAGGTCAGTCTCAACTACATAATGAAACCCTGTCTCAAAAACCAAAAACCAAAAAAAAAAAAAAAAAAAAAGAAAGCCCCTTACATGAACACAAGGCAGGCTACAGAAACAACAATTTCTCTTCCCCAAGGCAAGTTACAGAAACTAAAAATAAACTCATTTTCCCCTGCTTTTCTATTAGAACAGACCATGGCCGGGGATTTAGCTCAGTGGTTCTGTTGCCTGCCTCACAAGTGCAAGGTCCCGAGTTCGATCCCTGGTACCAAAATTTAAAAAAACAAACAAACCATAAAGACACGCTCTGGTAAGACCCTCGTTTCAGAAAGAGCCCTTCCCCCATGCTCACAAAGAAGCAGTGTTGCACAGAGAAGCCAGGAAGAACCTGTACAGATGACCCTGCTGGCTACCCTTACTCTGTTAGCATTAGGTCACACTCTTCTGGTCCAATACATGTCCACACGGTCGTCCACACTTGTCATGCCATGCAATAAAGTCACCGTATAAAAACCACAAGGATGAGGTTCTGGACTGCAGGGCACGTGGACTCACAAGGCGAATAAGAACTCTCTCCGTGCCAGGACAGCGGTGCACCCAGCCCCAGGCATGGACACTCTACTTCTGCTCTCCAGGCCTCACTCTATTCAGCTCTGCGTTTTTTATTTGTAATCTTTAAAATATCCTTTGTAATAAACCATTAGATGGTAAGTAGTGTTTCCCTAAGTTCTACGAGTTGCTCTAGGAAACTAATCAAACCTGTAGCCAGTTGGTCAAAAATTTTAGAGGCCGGGTATTGTAATGGGATCTAAAGTGGGGGCAGTCTCGGGGACTGAGCCAGTGACAGTGGGATCTGATGTTGCCACTGACAGTGTCAGAGCTGAATTAAGTCTGATGAAGGTGTCCGCTGCAGACCTGGTTCCTTGCTGATGGAGAGAAATCTCCAGAAGTCTTCTATGTTGATTATATATCAGAGCAGAGGTAAACAGATAATTTGTTTTTCCCAGACACAGAATATATATATATAATATTGGTGAAAAGTTTTGAACAGCTATACAGTCATAATGCTTATTTTCTCTTGTTTAAAAAAGAATCAGAATAACTTCTTTAAACTGCAGGGTATCTGCACTTCTAACTTACTTATCTTTTGCGAGATGGGAAATTTGGCAGATTTAACTCAGACCCAGAAGCAAAGTGATTTAACCAAAAATTCACGATGAATTGGCAAATTACCTACTATACACAAACAGAAAAAGAAACTAGCCTTTCAGGGAGATCAATTCACCTACCTGATGAAAGAAGTAGGTAACAGCAAGGTCATTGTCATTTAAGAGGATTTCTTCTTCTGTTGTAAAAAGCCATTTTCGAATAGTCAGGCAGGTGCCTGGCACAGCTGATGTGTAATTCTGGACATACAGTTTATGAGGAAATTCATTAGGTGCCAGCTTACGTACTGTGGAAAAGACAAAGAAAGCTGTAGTGAAAAAAATACATAAAGACCTTCCCTAAAATAAACTATGAAAGCAGATCAAGTGTGATTGGTTAAACAGAGCACAGCTCAGATTCATCCAGGAGCTCTTGCCCTAGGAGCACAGAATTCCCAGGTCTGGCTAAGTCTGTCCCTTCTAACTCTGACTAGGGCCAACTGAGCCTCCAACCGAATGAAATCTATCACTTGAAAGGCAGGTCCTTCAGTTACCATGGTGACAGCAGACTACATCAACTCCAAATTCACTTTGAAATACCCAATCCATTCATTTGCGGAAAAGTTACAGCCAATACCCACTCTTCAGTGAAAGTCTCTACTCTTACCCAGCTACAGGTATTCTCAATAAACTGCTTTTATTGTTAAGAACTGAAAGACTCTTCCTACTTCATCCCCAAATCCTCATTCATCAAAGTGAAAAGTGTCTTCAGAGTAAGGATATTTCTTCCCAGTAGTGCACAGCAGGATAAAACATCACCATTTTATTTTTCTCTTATCTTTCCCAAGTTTTTCTCTCTTAATGCATACTTGGCTTTATGACACTGCAAAAGACATATTTAATATTTCTCATTTTATAGAAAGTGAAACTAAAGCTTAGAAACCAAGTATCCAGGTACACTAGCAATCCTTTCTAACATAATTTATATCTGACTAATTAGGCTGTTGAGAGTTGAGAAGAAAAATTATAATAGGGAGATGGTTGCTTGAGGGGAATCAAAGTTGCTGTCTCTAGACCTGGGATGGCAAGACAACTGAAACCTACCAACCTCTCCACCTGGGATGAAGAAGATCTGATCAATCAGTATTATCTACATCATTTCTGACTGCAGGCTGTGTACACATGATGTGAAGAAGACCAATAAACTATAGAAAATCCAACCCCTCAGCCTCCCTCCCCTTTGTAGTTGCACTGCAATCAATGTGACTACCACCCCCAGTTTTTATAGAAGAGAAACTTCCTGTCGCCATGCAATAAAATTTAGGAAGAGGAAATTTTCACACAGAAGCTTGAACATATGAATCAAAACAAAGGCTTTTCACCAATGTACAGTATCTCTTTCTAACTTCTAAAAACGAAAATCTAGTCTTAAAAACCTTTACAAAAATAAGGAGGGGAAGAGGGGTTGAAGGGAGAGGAGGGCACCAGGGAAAAAAGAAGTAAGATATATCATGTACAGATACAAATGCCTTATGATTAATGTTATCATTAAAATGTACTAATAAAAATTTTTAAATGCAAAAAAAAAAAAACCCACAAAAAGTATGAAGGAACTTGAAACTATGTGGCTAAAGAGAACATACCCTTTTAAAGCTGCTTCACTGGAATACGTAAATTCTGAACCGCTGACTTAAAAGCACCACATGAAAATTATCTGATTCAATGCCAGATGTAATCTGTAGGTGCTGACAAAAGAGGAAATAGGACTAACGATCAGAAAATCTTATGACCAGGTTCAGCAGGATTTGCTAAGGGGGATCTTCTCCTGTCCTCAAGCTCTTCTCTGGGGAAAGTTTTTGTCCAACAGTATTAGAATAAAATACCCAAACTCAAAATTAGCCATTAGCACTTACCGAAGGAATGATTGATCACTTCAAATAAGGCAAAGTAATTCACTGTTGTACTGTCCATGCCAACCTTTGCTGCAATAGCCTAAAGTTCAAACAGGATAGAATGATTTAAGAAAACGAAGTCAGACAATGCTGTTGGGAAACACAGGTGTATACATGAGGGCAGGGGGCTGGTTTTAGCTTCACAAAAACTGTCATGGTCCATCGCTATTTCTCTCTCTCATTCATACATTCATCTATTGGAACTGGGACTCAAAACCCAGGGCCTTGCACACACTAGGCAAGTGTTCTACCACTGAGCTATACTCCCAGCCCCATGACTGTCTTTCTCCAGGTCCCATGTACACATGCATACAAAGGTGTGAAAGAAAAGAAGAAAGACAGCTGTGTTTGACCCATACAGCTCATCTCTATGGACTTCTCCTTTCCAACACAAGCTGAGAAAAGTTTCTCTTTAATATCAGCTTTCCTCTTCAAAATATGACTTCATTTCACAAAGCTCTTTTTTTAACACCATTTTTAAGAAAGGCACTTGAGGGCCAGGAATTTAGCTCAGTGGTTCCCCTGCCTGCCTCACAAGCGCAAGGTCCCAAGTTTGATCCCTAGTACCAAAAAAAAGAAAAAGAAAAAAGAAAAGAAAGGCATTTAATAGGACAGATCTTAAAAAGAAAACAAATTCTTAAATATTCATTTTCACATAGCCTACTTTTATGTGGGACAGAAAAAAAGGACATCAACAGAGAATATCTATATTTTTCATTCTTTTCTTTTTCTTTTTTCTTTAAGAGACAAGAACTCCCTGTGTTGCCCAGGATTCTCCTGGCCTCAAGTGATCTTCCCATCTTAGCCTTCTAAGTAGCTTTGGCATGAATCTCAATGCCAGCTAGATTATTCAGCTTAAACTATTGTTTGTTAATTTTATTCAGGTTTCCATTTTTTTAATGGTACAGGGAATTGAACCCAGGAGAGCTCTACCACTGAGCTACATCCCTACCCCTTTTTATACTTTTTGTTTGGGGGCTGGGTGCTACTAAGTAGCCCAGACTGGGCTCAAATTTGTGATCCTCAAGCCTTAGTCCCTTTAATAACTGGGATTATAGGAGTGTAGCTGGCCCACAAATATACTGTTTTTCAGCTGATCTATGTTCCAGGCCAGGAGCTTTACACACCTTTATTTTCTAAAGATTATCACCATCAATATCCATATGAAAACATCAAAATATTGTGACAAGAGGCATATTAAACAAGAACATTAGTTCTTCTCTGTAGGAACTATGGTACTAACATAACAAATTAAAAAAGGCTCCTTGTGCAAATATATGAGAAATGAAATTACATAACAACAAAACACAATAGTACCAAATCCCTTTTCAAGATCAATCCCAATATTAATCGAACAAGATAAAACTTCTGCATATTAGTACCTCAGCGAACCAAATGATTATATCCTTCCCATATCTGCTCACATATCAAGCCTAGGTTCATTGCTGATGTGATGTCGGAGCTAGAAACTTTAAGTGTCCTAAATCACACTCTGTCTATGGCCATACCACGCTGAACAGGCCCGATCTCGTCTAAATTACCACTCTTCACTGCACTGGAGAGAAAGTAAAATGCTGTCAAGGTCTGGAAAATGGCTTCTAGCTAGAAGTCTTAGTAACAGGATTGGGGGAAAGTATTAAAAGTCAAAACAAAACAACAACCCCAGGCCTTGCTAAAGAAACACTGAAAAATCGAAAGATAGCAAAAATATCAGCAAATTGTAAAAACAATTGTTTTTCTTGCAGTTAAAAATGCCTCATATCCTATATTATCCTTTGCTATAGTACTTGGCAAATTATGAGGGATAAATTTCTTGTCTCCCTGAAAATCCTGATGGAGGAAGAGTAAAGGCAAATGAAAGGCCTACCTATAAGCAATGCTTACACCCAGCAACCAGACCACGAGTTTAACACATTTACAGCAGGGATGTAATTCACATATCTCACTGCTCAGTAGATTTATTAAAAAAAAGACCGATCAAAGTGATTAGATTCATTAGTACCATGCGTGGTACAAGCTCCCTGATGGGACAGTCGTGCATGGCCGGTTCAGACCAGTGGGAATGTGTTAAACACCGTTTGTTTCTTTTTTTCCCCTGGTACTGGAGATCGAACTCAGGACCTATCACTGGTGAGGCAGGCACAGTGACACTGAGCTGAATTCCCGGCCCAAAATACCGTTTCTTAATAACAGGAATCAGAATTCCCTAGGGAAATGGCTTATTCTAGAACTAAGGTAGGGAATGTATGAAGGTGAGCCCAAGACATTCTATCATAACAAAGGCAAGGATGCTATATAAGTAATGGATTGCATCAAAGTACACAGGAACAGATACGAAGGAGCTGCTACTGGCAAAAGATGAGAGTTTGAACAGCAAAACAATAATATAAGCTACTGACTAAATCATTTAATTTTTTGAAAGTTAATAAAATACACTTAAAAACAATACTACAAAGTAAAAATACAACAATGGACATCACTGGAATCAATTAGGGTACTCTTCGCTCTGAAGACTGGTAATAAAGGAAAGAATAAAATATTTATCCTCTTTTTCACAAACTATATTTCAGGATAACTTGTCTTAGTTAGCCAGGCATGGTGGCGCATGCCTGTAATCCCAGCACTTGGGAGGCTGAGGCAGGAGGATCGCTGTGAGTTTGAGACCAGCCTGGGCTACACAGTGAGTTCCAGGTCAGTCTTAACTACATAGTGAGATCCTGTCTCAAAAAAACAAAAACAAAAATAAACAAACACACAAACAAAACAAAACAAAAAATACCACCTCTGATCACAATGACTTCATCAAAGTGAATTTGTAACACTAAAAAGCTAAAACTTGGGCCAGGGATTTAGCTCAGTGGTTCCGCCACCTGCCTCGCAAGCACGAGGACCCCAGTTTGATCCCCAGTACCAAAAAAAAAAAAAAAAGTTATTTACAGAAAATACTATTAGAAAACCAGCACTTTGCAATCTTTATGAAAGTACTTGTTAAGGTAACAATCATCAATGGATATACTCACCTGATAAATTACCAGTGGTAAACTTTATTAATGACAGATCACACCTACTGATTAATCTTGTTACCACTAATCATTTCTCGGCCTTTTGGCTGAGACCAAGTGTGACCCTGTTACGGCTACTCAGAGTAACCACACACTGTGTACTGCCTGCGGAGAAGGAATAGGATGTAGACAGCACCAGTTATGGAGCACTCATATCAAAAAAGCAGAATCTGAATCTAATCAATCCTCCAGAGCAAGTTTCCATTTATGGAAATATAGAGAGCCAGGTGTGGTGGTGCATGCTGTAATCTCAGAGCTTGGGAGCCTAAGGCAGGAGGATCACCGTATATATATACACACATATATATATATATACACACACACACACATACATACACATATGGAGCTATGAGGACAGAAGAATATATTAAATGACAATACAAGAGAATAACAGTCTCAGATTCAGTAACAGACAATGGCACCAAGGTGAGGAGGGAACTGGGAAGGGGGATTACTCTATATTAAAATAAACATAAAACTAAAATGTAATATATACACACATATATATATATATACACACACACACACATACATACACATATGGAGCTATGAGGACAGAAGAATATATTAAATGACAATACAAGAGAATAACAGTCTCAGATTCAGTAACAGACAATGGCACCAAGGTGAGGAGGGAACTGGGAAGGGGGATTACTCTATATTAAAATAAACATAAAACTAAAATGTAATATAAATCTTATTTAGATATGGATTTTAAACCAACTGTAAAGAATTACTTTTAGGGGCTGGGGATTTAGCTCAGTGGTTCCGCCGCCTGCCTGGCAAGCGAGAGAACCCGAGTTCTATCCCTGGTACGAAAAACAAGCAAACAAACAAACAAGAATTACTTTTAGGGGCCAGGGATTTAGCTCAGTGGTTCCACCGCCTGCCTTGCAAGCGCAAGGACCCGAGTTTGATCCCTGGTACCAAAAAAAGAATTACTTTTAGGTAATTGGAAAAATTTGACCATGGGCAGTTGTTAATTAATTACCAAAAAAAAAAAGGTGCTAATTTTCGATTTGATACTAACATTGCGGTTACTTAAGAACACTGATAGGGAGGAGAGGAGGGGGTGAAGGGAGGGCAGGGACAAGGGAAAAATGAGAATCAAGACCTATTATGTAAAGGTACAGAATCCCAATGATGAATGTAATTGTATTGTATACCTAGATTGTACCAATAACCTCAATAAAAAGGAAAAAAAAAAAAAAGAACACTGATAGCTTTCAGATGCATACTAAAGTACACAAAGGTCTTCATAACATGGGCTTTAAAAAACTTAAAAAGGATACGTGGTACAAATGTGGCAGAACCATGGTAATTATTAAATGTGAGTGATGAGAGCTGAGGACACAGCTCTATGGTAAAGCACTTGCCTAGCATATGCAAGGCCCTGAGTTCAAGACCCAGCACCCCACACACACAGAGTATCTGGAGAGTCATTGCACTATTCTGATTTCACATATGCTATTAATGGTTTTTACAATTAAAAAAGGAAGGGTAGGGCCAGAGATTTAGCTCAGTGGTGCTGCCACCTGCCTCACAAGCGCAAGGACCCGAGTTCAATCCCCGGTACCAAAAACTAAAACTAAAGATAAAAAAAGGAAGGGTTAATTACAACCACTATTCCCTGAGATTCTACTTTAACTTTCAAGAAGGGCAAAGTACTTTGATACTAATAATAACAATTTAATGAATGTTTTAGTGCCAGATACCATAAGCACTTTATATGTATTAGCTTCTTTCGTCTATCTTAGCTTCATACCATCCAATATCAAATGAACTTGTTCAAGTTTTTTGTGGTTTTTTTTTTTCCTTGGTTTTTTTGAGTCAGGGTCTCACTATGCAGTTGAGACTGACCTGGAACTCACTATGTAGCCCAGGCTGGTCTCGAACTCACAGCGATCCTCCTGCCTCAGCCTCCCAAGTGCTGGGATTACAGGAGTGCACCCAGCGAAACTTTTTCAAATTTAACTTACCTGATATACTTGGTCTGTCGTGCTGTTCTTTTTCACTCTAACTGTAACTGTTGTTCCATCTGGTAGTGCTACCCTGAGCTCTACATCAGATACGCCATTATAGTTCTGGGGAAAGACAGAAAAGGAATTCATGACGCAGTCCATTGCCACTCTTCTCGAAACGTGCTAGCTAAACAGTAACCCGAACACATACTAGTGACAAAACCAGTTCTGACAAAAAGAAGGAAACAACACTTTAAAAGTTAATATATTTACAAGTCATAAAGCTGACTACAGGCTGAGGCAGAAGTTAACCTTTAAAATGCAGAAGGGAAAAAGAAACATATTGGAAGCAAATGCGTTCACATTTCAACACAGAAAACTGTGTGAAGCAGTCTAGGTCAAACACAGACGAGTTCTTGGGTTTACTTCCGGCACCCTATTCAGAGCTCACAAGTGAGAAAACAATGGAAAGCAGTAGCTCCAACAAATATTCTCTGGTTTCAGGGGCTACGGTATACAGTCTGGCTCAAGGGTATCTGAAGTTCCCTTCCAAATCCTGAAATAACCAGGACATCTTTGAAAGAAAAATGAATAAGACTTGGGGATATGAATTAGCGTGACATCCAATTTTCTTCTAGCAAATAGTGAACAACTCATTCAGTTTTAAAGAAATACTTAGGGCTAGAGGTGCAATTCAGTGGCAGAGCACTCGTTGAGCATGTGTGAGGCTTGGGTTCAATCCCCAGTACCATGAGAACAAAGCAAAATTAAAAACTGTTACTCAACACATTTCTCTAACAATTTCTGACCTTGTAATTTTTATCGGAGAAATAACTACTTAGGTATAAGTCCATTTTTATTTAACACTTTGAAAAATTATTACTCATTGCCTAAAACCATCCTACACATCACAGTAGCCCCTCTTTACACACCGGGAATGTGTTCAGTCTCACAGGGGATGCCAGAAACCGAGGGTGGCACTGACCCGCCGCGTACTGCCCCTTCCACCCTCCCTAATCACTGATCACCCACTGTGCCTATTGCTTTCACAGTTTGAGTTGTGACAGCAAAACTAGCAAGAATTTATTTTTAGTTCTCACAGTCAGGTGATCCAGTCTTATCATAGACCTTAGCAACCTCAACCTCAGTGGATGATGTTTTGCTTTGTTTTTTTAATTTTGAAAGAGGGTCTCACTAAGTTGCCTGGGCTGGGCTCAAACCTGGAATCTTCCAACCTCAACCTCCCAGGGTGCTCGGATTACAGACGTTCGCCACCACCGGCTTCTTTTCTTTTTCTTTCTTTCTTTTTTTTTTTTCCTTGCACTTGCAAGGCAGGCGCTGGAACCACTGAGCTAAATAAATCCCTGGCTTCTTTTCTTAATGCTGTTAACTTTTACCTTTTAAACTTAAAAGGAAGCACCCTCACTAAAGGAGCCTCCACTTGGATGTATGTGAATTGCTAGAATTACTACTCTTGTCCCTGAAGACATTCCTAAGGTTGTTTGAGTACAAGCACTGAGCAATCAGGCTGATAACTGATCCAGCCACTGAGTGACTAACAGGCAGGTGACACACAGAGTATATATGCTCGATTCAGATTCCAAGTGAAACAGTGAGGAGTAGCCTGAGACTATCACGCTACTCAGAATGACACACAATTTAAAACTCATGCGTTATTTATTTCTGGAATTCTACATTTAATATTTTCAGGCCATGGCTGGCCATAAGTAACTGAAACTATAGAAAGCAAAATCACGGATAGGGAAGGATTACTATTATTATAGGCCCTAGTCTACAAGAAACTTATAATCTAGTTGAGAAAACAAGACATATTTAATTAATATTTATTAAGCACCTACAACATGCTTGATATTGTCACAGGGCAGTGGAAATATAAAGATGAAATATAAAGACATCTCTTATGTACAGGTAGCTCAAACTCTTGTAAGCTAAAAATACAAAGTAAAAGATCTTTTTTTTTGGTACTGGGGCTTGAACTTGGGCCTTTGCATTTGTGAAGCAGGTGGCAGAACCACTGAGCTAAATCCCTGGCCCCAAAGAAACAAATCTACTGCATCATACGTACAAAAATTAGAATAACAATAAGATGATAAGTGAGTGGTACTGAGAGTAAGACTAAATCTTCTCTTTATAAATTAATAATAATTAATAAAATGAATAATAAGAGCCGGGGATGTAGCTCTTTGGCACCATGCCTGCCTGGCAAGCGCAAGGTCCTGGGTTCAATCACCAGTACTGTAAAAAAATAAATGAGTAAATAAAAATAAAATTAATAATAATCATTAATGAAAAACCGATGCTCTAAATCATCAGGGAAGGCTGCCAAGAGAAGGTGGCTCTAGCACGAGGTCTTAAAGGACAGCAAGCAGGATACATACAAAAACAAAGTAGAAGAAATATAGTCACCTGGGAGTGAGTTTACTGCAACCCATACACAGTGATATCTTTATTCTCCCCCACAGGGATCTAAGTGGAAAATAGTCGCTAACGGGGATATTCACCTACCTCATCTGATTCTGACAGGAATTCCTGCATGATGTCACTCTCACCAATGACTCGTATTGAACAAACTGTGGAAAACAAAGATAAAATCTAGCATAAAGCCCTATACTTGTAATCGAGAATATAAAGTCAAGAACACATCAAGGCCTAAGTTTAAATCACCAGTACCAGGCAATGATAAAGCAGTATCCATTCCTGGCATATGAGATTTTTTATTTATTCACTTTTTAAGTTTTTTTGTGATAGAGTCTCACTGTGCAGTTCAGACTGTCTGAACTCACTGTGTAGCCCAGTCTGGCCTCAAACTCACAGCGATCCTCCTGCATCAGCCTCCTAAGTGCTGGGACTACAGGTGTGTGCCACCACACCCGGCAAGATTTTAAGGCATAATAAACGTTCACCTAAATATGATCTATGAGAAAGGAAGAATAGAAAATATAAAAATATTAAACATAGCCAGAAAAGAAAGATAGAAGGATAGTAAATCTAGATTCATAGTCTTATATGACCTGTTAACACACTAAAACAACAGCACATAGAGGGAAAGGGGCAGTGGAAAGGAAAGGTCAAGTAAGAATACACTAAGTATAAAACTGAAACATAAAAGGAAAGGTATCTATTAGGCCTAGGAATAGGACAGTCAGAGAAAAATAAACATTTAAAGCCACTGTGGGAAAAAAACGTGTAAGTAAATAAGCATGAAGCTGAGAACGTCATTTCATTTCACTGATTTTGTTTCAAAACAAGAGAGAGAGAAGCGGGGGAAGGGAGAGGGAGAAAAAAGAAAGCAGGTAGGTAGCTAATTGTCTAAATCTAAGAAAGTTAATTTTCAGATACTCTCATGAGGATGGTAAATTACACAGATGATTTTACTTCATTTGATTGGGAGAAAAAAATTGTACCCTTGCTCATTTCCCTAGGGCTGTGTTCCCAGGCCAGTTCATGTTAGGAAAAGCTAAAAACGGGTGAGGAGTTCCACCACCTTCCATGGGGGAAATGGTTATTCTTCAGGGATAAAGATCCTTACCGAAGTCTTAAAACTCTCAACTAGGTCAATTAGTTCTTACACGGGACATAAGGACACAAAGTTACTAAACATAATGTAAAACCATTATTCTATTAAACTAACATTTTAGGGCCGGCAATTCAGCTCAGTGGTTCTGCCACCTGCCTCGCAAGTGCAAGGTCTTGAATTTGATCTCTAGTACCAAAAAACAAACAAACAACAACAACAACAAATACTAACATTTTAAAGAAAAAAACCTACTGCACACCTAGCATTACTTAACTCTACAACATAGCAAGGCAAAGTCTCTTTTCTGAGTCATGAGATGCACTATCTTATTCAGATCTGTCATTTCTCTGCCTTTCCAGAGAAAACGTTTCAGCACCCACATCCACATCCAGACCTACACATAAATTCTTGTAAAAGGAATAAAGAGCTTTCGCATAGGGTCTGTCAATGAGTCAAGAATCATTTTAATGAAAATATCTCAGATACTGCCAAATTAGTTCCCAAATCAATTCAGTATACTGGCATGTCTGCCTGTATTTGTTTGCTGGCAAATAATGTAAATGCATCAAAATTATTCATTTTTCTGCTTTTGGTGCTCAGCAAGTCAATAAAACAAGCCAGTAACCACTACACTGAGACATTTCAGTCTGGCTTTCAAAGTTCTACTCATTTAATACTTACAGCCAGAAATGTGACTTACTTTCATTGAGTATCAGGAAACATCTATGCAGTTTAAGAGTCACACAACATATCTGGATTATGTGGCTACACAGGACGGGAGAGTTAACGGCTTGGCTCACCTTTTTCTAGATACTCTTCTAATCCCCGGCGTCGGGCATCTAACTGCTGTTCTGATAAAGAGAATGGCCACTTTCCTGGAAGTCGGGGAAATGTGAAGTTGGCAAACTCTCTCTTTAGGTTCTGGTGTAGGATGGCAAACTCCCGGTACCGCTTAGAACACAGCTGCCTCCCTGCCATGTAAACATTGTATACCTGATGGCAGAGAACAACAAAACAATCGTACTTAATACAAATTAAATCACAGGCATCTAAAGTCAGGAAGAGATGGATATGCATTATAGGGAGACTGTGTTCAAGGTCACCTGACTTACTTTTAACAAACAAACCCACAGTTATATGTACAAAAGAGGACCATTCCTTTCAACGAGATGGTATGATCTTATTTTTCCTAATAAACTTACTTCCAACACACTTTAAATGTCTTTGAAGACAATTACAGTACCAGTTTTTAAGAGTAGATTTTCATTTTGTTTTCAGAAAGCTACAAGGTTTTCAAAGTTAATGTGTTAATATAGTGAATGAACCAGCAAGCAAATATGGAAGGAGATGAAAATCTAGGACTGATTATAAAGCAGTGTGACAGGTATGCATGTGTGGTCCAAACTGGCTCTCAAGTTAATCCCAAAGAAAGGCCTAAAGCTAACAACTTGATAATAATTTAATTCAAACTTTACAGTCTCTGCCTCCATTCTGTCTTCCTAGTTCCCCGACCCAGAAATGTTGAACCAATCATGGTCATGACCTCCTTGCTTTTCCTTCTTTTTGTCCTGAGACTTTTTGGTCCTGTCACTGTTTCCCAGGCTGGCCTCAATCTTCCTGCTTCAGTCTCCTTTGTAGCTGGGACAGCAAGCATATACCACAATGCCCCACTGCCTTTCTTTTTACGACTATTGTTTTGGTTTTTTTGTATGTGTAATCACTGAATTTTTATTTTAATTGTACAAAACTATGATAGCATGCCAAATGAAACATTCTGGGATTTACTTTTTATACTTAATAGTATATTAGACTAAACCACAAAGCTATATATTTATATATTTTTGTCATTAGTCTTGTGGTTTGTACACACTGTCATTGTTTTAATGTTTTCCTATTAATGGCATTTGGGTTGTTTCTGGGTTTTACCTATGCACAGTGAACAATGCTGCTATAAATGTTTGCATACATACCTCGTCCATGTAACAGATTTCCTGAGTATATACCTGAAAGCAAAACTGCACGGTTTAAAACATGTACATATTCAGACTCAGAAGATAATGCCAGAATGTAAGTTTCTTACTTACTACATCTTTCAGTAGTGAATAAAAACATTCTCATTTTTGCCAATGGAATAACTGAGAAAAGATTTCTGAGTAGTCCTCATGTTTGCTTCCCCAATTACTAATGAAGCTGAACATCTCTTTATATATTTACTGGTGATGTGAGTCTCTTTTTTTGTTGTTGTTAAATACTTATTCATCTGTTTTACTTACTACTGTGTTGAATTTTCCACTTTTTTTCATAGATTTTATAGGTTCTGGGTTTTTTTTTTCCATTTTGTTTTATTATAAGGTCTGTTACCCTGCCCAGGCTGTCCCGAAACTCCTGGCCCAAGCAATTCTCCTGCCTCACCTTCCAAGTACCTGAGATTACAGGCAGGTCCACCACACCTGGTCTGCATATGTTTTTGCCTACTTGTTCTGTTTGTACATACTGTATCTTCTCCCATTTGTCACTTGCGTTTTCACTTTATTTAAAGGTCTTTTACTTTTTTGTGTGGGGATCAAACTCAGGACCTTGAGCTTGCAAGGCAGGCATGGAGCAGATCTTTGAAATTTTAAAAAGCTCCACAGAGTCTAATTTACCAAACTATTTTATAAGTAATATTTTTGTATCTTAAGAGACACTTTTCTTTCCTTTTTTTTTTTTTTTTTTTTTCCTGGTATCGGAGATCGAACTCGGGTCCTTGCACTTGCAAGGCAGGTGGCAGAACCGCTGAGCTAAATCCCCGGCCCAAAGAAACACTTCTCTATCTCCAGAATCTGAAAGCTATTCATCAATAATTTCTACTAACAGCTTTTACATTTTTGTTTTGTCTAGAATTGATTTTTCTGTATAATATGAAGTACACTTCCACTGGTATTTCTTTTTCTGTTGTTTTGTTTTGTTTCCCAATACTGAGGATTGAATCCATTCCCCGTTTTTTGGATACCAGGGATCAAATTCAGGTCGCTGCGCTTGCAAGGCAGGTGGTGGAACCATGGAGCTAAATCCTTGGCCCTCCATCCCCTTTTTATTTTTATTTTGAGATAGGGTCTTATGAAGTCACTAAGTTGTCCAAGCTGAGCTCAAACTTGTGATCCTTCTACCTCAGCCTCTTAAAGAGATAGGACTACCCATGTATACACCATGGCTGGCCATTTTAAACCTCTTTAACAGGTAATTATTTGGACTGGTGTATAGCTCACTGCTACAGCACTTACTAACATGAACAAGGCCCTGGTTTCAGTCTACACACACACACACACACACACACACACACACACACACACACTTTAAAAAGGTAACTGTTTAAAAGAAAGATAACAATGTGTTATGGAGTTTATAACAAAAATAAATAAATGATAGGGCCAGGAATGTGGCTCAGTGGTTCTACCTGATCCCAGGTACCAAAACAAAGAAACAAGCAAACAAATGATTAAGCTGAGCATGGTGGTGCACGCCTGTAATTCCAGAACTCAGGAGGCTGAAGGATTGCCCTGAGTTTGAGACCAGTATGGGCTACATAGTGAGTTCCAGGTCAGTCTCAACTACATAGTGAGACCCTGTCTCAAAACAAACAAACAAAGAATGACAACAATAGCACAAATGATAGGAGGGCTGAAATACATTCTTGGAAGTCTTATACTATAGTCTTGTACTAGAAGATAAAATGGAACCATTGCAAAATACTCTATTAACCCGAAAGAATCCAGTCAGGGATAAAGAACAGATGAGACATAAATAACAAAGACCAAGATGATAAATTTATGTAACTATATCAATAATTATACTAAATATAAGTAATCTACACTTTCCAAATAAAAGACTGAGATCACCTGATCAGATAAAAAAGCAAGACCCACCTACCAGCTACCAATAATAAACCCACTTTAATGATAAATATATAGATAAATTAAAAGTAAAAAAGACAAAGATATATAATGAAAATAATAACTTAAGAAAGGGCTGGGCATGGTGGCACACACCTATAATCCCAGCACTCCAGGCTGAGGCAGGAGGATCACAAGAAGTTTGAGGCCAGCTTGTGCTACATAGCAAGACCGTCTCAAAAAAAAAAAAAAAAAAAAAAAAAAAAAAAAAAAAAAAAAAAAAAAAAGCAGAAATGGCTATTAGTCACCATATTTTAAAATCAGAGAAAGATTTCAGAACAAAGAATATTACTGGGAATAAAGAGAGATTTCATAATATTAAAAAGGTCAATTGATCAAGAAGACATAATAGCTTCTTATATGCAGGGAATAACCTGATATAACTCATAATTCCATTTCAAGTATTGTTGCATAAACTTCCTTCACACTAACAGGAGTAACAACTACAAACTCTGAACAAAGTACTGAAAAACCAACTGCCTGAGGATTCTGAAGCAAGCAGATTGTGGAGGTCAAAATCTGCAAAGGTTGGAGATGGTTTCCAGTTTTTAAGGGGCTTTGCCCTGTGCTGGGCATCGGTCACAAAGTAGTATGAGGACCAAGTTTCCAGGTCATGGTGGGCTCCAAACCCCTTACCCAGAATAGAGTAAATGCAAAAGTTCCTTTCTGAGAAATTTCATTCTATGTGACAGTTTCCATTCTGTGTGGCAATTTCTCTGTGCTTCTAAAAAAATTCCATTCTACTCTGTGCTTCCTCCTCTTTTAGGGCACCTCCACCCTGCTTCTGTTCCTCTTTTTAACATGTTAAGACAAACTTCTTTTTGTGTGGTCTAATCAATATAGGAATTAATTATAGTGGATATAGATAGTTATATATCTTAGTTAGCCAAAGTCAGAAAAGAGGAATTAATTTCTGTCTAATGAAAAGAGGAATTAATTCTCTAAAGGCCTTAGGTAACTTTCCAATACGTACCCTCCCAGCACCCCATAATAAATTTGCAAATATAACCATTAGATCATGTTCCAATGTGCCCTCCCGATGCCCCTTGATGATAAGGGAAAACTAAATATAGTAACAGAAAAATCCTATATAAACCGGACATGACTCCTTGGTGGTCTTTGGGGACTTCGTGACTTGGGCACAACAGTAGCACAACTGAAACAAACTCCAAAGAGAAGCAGATGGTGAGCACCTGCACTCCCAGATCCTTGGGAGGCTATGGTAGGAGATGGCGTGAGCCGAGTTGGAAGCCAGTGAGGGCAGCAGCAAGATCTCCTCTCTATAAAAACAAACAACTCCAGATGGGGATTTACCTCAGTAGTTCCTTGTCTCACAAGCACAAGGTCCCGAGTTCAATTCCCGGTAGCAAAAAAAATAAATAAAATAAAAACAAACAACTCCAGTGGAAACCCTGACATCTTTCTGGGGGAAAAAAAAAGGACAGAACTACTGCATAGGCAAACACACAAACACAGCGACCACCAGAATGAGTAGAGAATACCAGTTTTGAGATGAGAAGGGGAAATCTTTTCTGTGAATGAATAATATATGTATCTCAGATCATTCTCTCAGGTAATGTTGTATTCAGACTCAAAACGCACAGAAGAGGCTCAAAGAATTAAACTTAGATGTGAAGTTCTGACAGATAAAAACAGTCCTTCCTGTTCAGAGGAATATTACAGAGTTGAGTCTACAAAATGTAACATTCACAAAATTCAGGACACAAAACCAAATTACTCAATACACAAAGGACTAGAAGAATATGACTCATTCTCAAGGGAACAGATACTTGATAGAAGCCAATGCCCCAACGGTGTAAATGTTGAAATGTTCACATATTAGTCATTGGAACAGAATGGAGTCCAGAATAAGAGTGACACAATACGGTTAACTGTTTTTCAACTAATGCCAAGGTATTTCAATGGGTAAAGTTTATAAGGGGTGCTTATAATGTACAGTGAAAGTTTAAATTTTAAAAATTTGTTACAATAAGATACACTTCCATTAATCTCCTTCAAAATACTTCCCCTGTTTTGCTTTAAACACACTTAGCCCACTGT